CATAGCCATCATTGGCTTGCAGTCGGAATTATTTGAGGTATGTGCAAACTAAAAAAAAAAAAAAAACACAATTAAGATAGCACATTCAATTTTGATTGAACATTGCAGCTTGATGATGGTGCAACTTAAATTAGAGGCAATACTGTGACCTAAAACTTTTTAGGTTGAGTGTATTTTAAAATGGTACCAAAAACTACTGTATACACTGTGCTCACTTGCACCATGAAAAGTGTGAAACTCTCTCGAAATACAAAAATGAATATGTGCAAACATATTTCAGTCTTCTACAGTAGAAATGTATAAAACAGGGAAGTGAGATTAAGAAAAAGCACTGAAAACTACTGTACATTAAACCGAGGAATTAGTTTTTATGTACCCTTTATCCACAACTTGTTGCTCGGCTTGACAAAGGGGCAACACGCAGGCCATTCCGCCCGGTGCTCGATGGGAATTTTTCAATTCAGTTTGCCTACGGGGCGACTCCCTGAGCTGGGTAACCGAAAAACAAGCACCGTGAGCAGCCTCTTTGGCCAATGCGTGGGGCTCCACGTATGCCTCCGGGACGACTCCGAGAAATATGCACCACGTGTGGCCTCCTTGCCCAACTACGTGCTCGATCAACCCACCACTACACCGACTGAGTGGCAGCCTTGACCCGCAATCGGAGGACGCTTGCTCGCAGCCTCTCTGGCGCTGGAGATCGACCTGTGGACTGGAGGGGCCGTCCGCCGCTGGACACACTTTTTATACACACTATGGAGACAACATAAGGAACATTTGTGATATATTTTTTAAATTTAATATTGATAGATTCATTGCCAACATAGGGTGGCAAAACGTTTAGTCAAGTTTGCAGCTGCCACCTTTTGCCACTCTGTAAAACTGCCTACGGCATTACTGTCATGCATTACATTCAGGCAGTAGCGAAGTAATCTGATGAGATATTCATTATATTTTCATAATATTGTTACAGCTGCGGAGCCTTGTGACTGGTTAGAATTTTGGGACCACAAGAAAAAAGAATCACCAAGAGTATCTGATTCATTGCTTCATTATGTCATTCACTTTCCACTTGCCTAGAAAAAGTCACACATCAATCAAAGATGTGTCCACAGTCCAAGGACTCTCTTTTACCAACTCCACTTATTCTTATGAAATAGTCAGCAGCTTAAATGGCTGAGAAGTCATTGTATGTGAGACCAATCAGTGTCACTGTTCCATGAAATAAAATGCTAAACATATTCAAAACACAAGAAGGAACACACTTAATTAAAAAGCAGTGGTTAGGATTGTGAAGAAGTAACAGCCATTGTGCTTTTTTGATAAGATTTGAATGACTGTGCCATCAATTGCGGTATGCAAAATGCCGATCACGCTGATTGGCTGTTAGCTCATGAAATGCAAATCATTCCGCTTCTGCGCAGAAGACCTCCACTGGCCGATGACATGCCCCCCGCCGTCCTGTAATCCGCGCCAATGGACTGTGAAGACTCACAGCAACATAATCATATATACATATTTATAGCTTTCCATATACGAAAATGGACGTTATTTGATATAATACACGTCACAAAATTCCAAACTAAAAAAAATGTAATATGATTCAAATTATTAGTAAAAGCAGTCACTGAGCTAGAAGATGAAAAATGGTACCATACGTTGCCATAAAGGCATACAAATGTTTAAAATGTTATCTTCTCAATATTTTATTGATCAACTCATACACTCAAAATCTAAATCATTTCAAATGTCCCACATATTTCTATATTTTAAGTCAAAGCCTTGAAAATGAGTCATTCAAACTGTTGAGCAAAAGGCCCTTTGTTGTTCTTCCGTGAGAAATCTTTTTTCCCCCCATCTTGATGAATAAACCAACAGAATTAATTAGCATTTTAACAAATATCTCTGTATACCGCAGCTAATAGTGTTCATTCCTTAATTGAACAAACAAAGCTTCATCAAATATTAATCCCATTCCCTTGTAATTTTCAATTGCTCTTGATTAGAAAAACATTGAGAGGGAAAAATGTTGTTTTTGTTTTGTTTTTTTAATTTCCTTCTCTGAGCCCATTCGTTGCTGAAGTGGAGCCATCTGGATCAAGTCCATCAAATAAACAGCAAATAACTCAGTGAAAACCGATTTTCCTGCTACGTCCTCTTCTCTCTATATTCTTGCCACATAAAGGCTCTCCTCACATTTTGGAGTGTAACATCCTCTGACCCAAGATCTTAATCCATTAAGCCAGTTGCCATTTTATTTTATTTTTTTTACATTTTTAGGCTTGTTCAAATTTAAGTCAAGTTACACCAAGCCGTACAGATGAGCTCAGTTCGCCGCATTATGATTTCAAATGGGAAAGCTTGATCTGGCTTCAATTTTTACCACGGGGTGTGTAGGCGAGCTGCAGATAGCTGCAACGAGCAAGATGAATAGTGTGACAGTGTCACAGTAAACAAAGCGATGGAGGGGATCATGTATTTTGTTTTCTTGCTTTTTGGTGTGTGCTTTGAAGATAAATTTAAGATACCATTGGGACTACAGTGTGTGTGTGTAGTTCCACATTTTGGTCCTATGCCACTCTCTCGGTAGGTAAGAATCCAGAGAGGTGCCCAAAATTGTTGAAGGTATTATTTATCTTGCTATACTTTAGTAGTTTGGAATGAAATGCAACAGGATGTGTTGCTTAATGTAGGGAAATATTGCTTTCTCTCAAACATCACTCATCATACTTAGTACCAGGACAGTGAAAACAAAGTATCCCATTTTAGCTTCCAATAAACAGATGCTCTATTCAAGAGAATCACTCGGGTATGAAATTAATGAGAGTGACGTCGCTTTCAGCTTGAACTTCTGCACTTATTCATCAGCCCGTGTATGAAATATTTGTAGTTCCCACGTTTAAATTTATTGGTCAGTTTTACACTCCTGAAACACAGCCCCTTTGGAAAAATATGTAGATATGTTCATTTATTTCACACACATTCTTGTACAGTGGAAGACCTCTAAATAGTACAGTTCAGAAGCTGACCAAAATGTTGACGTGAAAGGCAAACAAAACCTTAAAGTGTGAAGCGCTGTCATGCTTAATGCTACGGCAACCACCGGTGTATCGCACCATATCTGAGGGAATTTAAAAGCATGGGTTCCACTGTTTTTACTTTGACTTTTTGTTGCATTTAAAAACTCTTATTCTAAAAGAATGAGAAAAATATCTCTTGAAAACTAGAGTCAGTAAATTTAGGAATCTGGATTTTTGACCTGCATTTCAAAGCTCTGCACGGAATTGAAAGCAGTCCGCGGAAATAAGGGTGAGGTGCAGAATATTACATTTACGTGTAGTTTTCATCCCATCAGCTCGATGTTGCGGTCAGACAGGCTACGTTCACACAGCAGGACTTGATGCCCATCCATCCATCCATTTTCTAATCCGCTAATCCTCATAAGGGTCGTGGGTGTGCTGGAGCCTATCCCAGCAGTCTTTGAGCAGTATGGGTTCACCCTGAACCGGTTGCCAGCCAATCGCAGGGTACACATAGAGAAACAACAACAATCCACACTCACAATCGCACATAGGGACACATTAGAATGTTTCATAAACCTGCCATGCATGTTTTCGGAATGTGGGAGGAAACTGGAGTACGCGGAGGAGAAACCCCGTGCAAACTCCACACAGGAAAGCAGCAATTGAACCCCAGACCTTTGCACTGTTATGTAGTGGACCAACATGCCGCCAGTAATGAATGGCGGACTGGCAAAATGTTGTAAATTGCCTACCTCCGTGTATCTCCATTTTTCCTATCTGTTTTCAATGGAGCGTGTGCTCATTAAGGCATTGCAGGTGAGCTGGAACCGATCGCAGCTGACTTTGAGCATGTGGCAAGGCATACCACACAAATTGCAAGTCAATACAGGGCACATGTAGACAAACAACCACTCACATTCAAATTCACACTGATGGACAATTTAGAGTCTTCAATTAATCTATCACACATCATGTTGTTAATAGAATGTGCACGGGAGGAGGTCGGGGTAGCCAGTGAAAAACCGACACAAGCACGGGGAAAACATGCAAACTCCACTTCGGTGGAATTGAACCCAGATCTTCAAAACTGTGAGGCAGCAAATAAGATAAGAAACCACTTGTCCACTGTGCTGTCAATCAATTCCTTTGTGAAAAAAATGTTTGGAAATAAAAACAAATTGGAGGCCAATCATTACCCCGGATAAGAGTTTGAGTGCACACGCTCCTTTTTACAGTATACTGTATTCATTTTTAAGGTTTAAGCCAGCCATTGTCCAATGGAAAGACGTATTAACTCTCCTAATTGGCAGTCTGCAGCCCAGTTATTGCCAGAACATTAATAACATACGCTCCACCTTCAGAAGCTTAAAAAAACGTGAAACAATTGGCGTTAGACCAAGAAAAAAATGGCCATCAAATTATACCATTGGGATATAATTGCTATACATAAAAGCCACAGTATTTCATTGCAATTTCATCATACAATCTGCTCCAGTCAGACAATGACTTTTTGCCTTTGACAAATTCCATAAGTTAACACCCACATGGTTATAATCAAAGGTGAATTGCACAGCCTGTGGCAATTGACTTTCATGACGTTAACAAGTGGCTGTTGCAATTTCAGAACTTGGGTCAAACACCAGACCGAGACTGGATGCTGCAGAAGGAGAAGTAGGAGTGCATCAAGGTCACTTCACCTGGAACATCGACGGCTGTACAGTAACAGAGATGAATATGTGATCTCCTTGGAATTTATTGATATGGAGTCAGGAAATATAAATGATGGGTCGTTTTTGTAATTGAAGAAATGGCTTGTTTCAAGGCGATTCAGAATTGTCTTTCTTCTTGATGAGAAATCACTCACCTGTGTGTATTGTTGGGCAACAATTTCAACCCACGGGTGTTGTCACAAACACGTGCAAGACACCGCGCAGTGTATATTTCACAAAGCCAGAAAGGTGTGGAAAAAGTGGTTACCTCGGTGACGATGTCAGCGCGTCTCTTGGTGTTTTTTTTTTTGCTTTCCGGCGTTGATGTTGATGATGGGGATGAAGATCATGCCAAAACATGGAACGCACTTTTGCACACGAAAACGGTAAGAAAAAGAAATGGTCCGTTGCTCCTGTCGTTTCTCTGATTGGTAGACGAATGCAGTTGAGAAAGGGAGTCGAGACGCTACCACTGCTCCTTCTGACGCATGTGTGCACAGACACGCGTGGAACTAGAGGAGGTGGGGGTGGGAGGGGGGGAGTGAGTGAGAGAGAGAGAGAGAGAGAGAGAGAGAGAGAGAGAGAGAGAGAGAGGGACGGAACCATAGAGAGAAAGAGAGAGAGCGAGAGAGACAGACAGAGAATGAGAGAAAAGTGTCAGACTGGAGGGGGGGGGGCGAGTACTGGCAGGTCAAGGTTCTCTCTTCACTTATGGGTGATGCCTCTACGATCAACCACAATCCTGAGATCAACATGCATGTTTTAGTGCAAGGAAGTCACATTAAAATGGAAAATCACCTTTTATATAATTGTATGTTTACTTACCACAAATCAGGAAACAAAATCATTTGTTTTCCTCAAGCTTGCTTTCCCTTGGAGCTAGAAGCGTTGGCCAGCCGAAAAAAGCACACATACATATTGGCAGCTATCAATAGGAGCTGTTTTCCATATCAAATTAGAGACAAAAGAGACCCAAATCAGAGCACAGCTTTTTTACATATCGAATAATTTTTAATATCCACAAAACAGACAGTTCAAAATCACAGTTATTTCCGACCAATGAAAATATTTTGAAAACAGACATCCTGGTGGTCTCATATATGAGACAAAAGCATAAAAAAGTCAAAACTGTGGGACATGTGGGTAGCACGACTCACGGTCAATATGGTTGAGGGTTCAAATTTCACCTGAGCACCTCCTGTGTTCACTCCTTGTTAAGTGTATTTAGTGGTTGTGGAAGGGCTGTCCATCAGGAAGTCAAATCACAGATTCAGGAGTAGCAGTGCAGTTTCCGTCCAGGCTGTAGAATGAATTTGACTCCAGTGAGGTTTAGATTCCACCGAGGTTAACATTTGTCACCAGTTCTGTTCATAACCTACAGTTTATATCATATTGCACAGTGAATTGTATGGTATGGCTATACCAAGAAAAAAAAGCACAGATGTAATGCAGCAATGTAATACATAACATACTGCCAACAATACAATAATAATAAAAAAAGAATTTAAGGCGATCCGATACGTCTACGGACACAATACGTTCTAATGCAATTGGAACATGACAAACAATAAGGCCAGCATACTGCTCATGCAGACTCTGGGAACACACTTTGGAAAGAGGGAAAGTGCACAATGTCAGAATGGGATTCTGAAAAAGAAATGTGTTGATATACCTCAGAGCATTTTATGACGGGTCAGTGTGTATCTAACAACCTGATCAAAAACACTGATGACTTCCTGCCTGAAAATGTTGCAGCAGATGGATGGCTAAAAACATAAGAGAAGCCAAATAGAGGGCAAGTGAAGGGTTCATTTATATTTTAGTAGGCCCGTCGGACACAGCGAGGAAGTCAGGGATCATCTCTGATGGCCTACAAATGCATGGTGTTGGTAAGGCCTGCTGAAGGTTGACAATGCCAATTATATCTTGAGGATGTGGAATTGGGTATAGCAAAAAAAAAAAAAAAAAAAAACAATGAGTAATGTTTTGAATGTAAATGTGCTCAATCTTCTATCAGACACCTGCTTTACATTTACAGCGATGAGCTCCTTCGCTGCATGCTCAAAATGAACTTTTCATGCTGACTCAGAGGCTTTGATAAACAGACTCTTACATGAAATATAATTAACAGGGCTCCAGATTGCCCCAAAACGGTGGCATCTTGCCCCTAAAATTTGAGAGAGTGCAACCAAATCGTTCATCTTCTCACACATGTAGAAACGATATATATATATATATATTTTTAATTCTTGATTTTTTTTTTTTTTTTTGCTGGCATACTTCAGATCCAGACTTTTGTCCATTTCTCAGTAATATATGGGATGCTAGCACCTTATTTGTTAAATTCATATATATTTTAGCATCCTAATGCTACAGTTCAAGTATATTCAACACCAATGGGTGGCACAACTCTGATTGCAAACAGGCTGAAATCTAGTCGACATAATAGACACAGTTCAGCCTTGTCCCATCCCAGCCTGTAAATTGAAAGAAAAAAGAAAAACACTCCTGATGATGAAATTTTCATGAAGCAGATAAAGCTGAGCATAGTTTCCGAATCCCTGGGCAACTTGCATCAGCTTGTACAGATAGTTCAATCCGAAAGCACACAGAGGACGGATGTCTTGTTAGCTGAGGGAACCTAATATGTTTGTAGTGGATCCTCCCAACGGTATGCATGTACCATATGTGACATGCTGCTTCAAGAATAAGTGACTCTTCTTCATCACAGCATGTCATCGTCCTTTATCTGTCAATACAATGATGCCCCTCTGTGAGTGCTACAAAAGGCTGGGAGACGAGAGACACCGCATGGGAATTCACCAGCTCTGTCTTGTGTTAACTGCTGCGGAGAGATTTGTACTAAGACACTGCAGAAATTGAAATACGTGTCGGTTAGATCTGAACAGCGTTTTCCGCAACCCAAATTTGAACCAGGTCTTTTGGGATGAAATACTTTTACACTGACCATCACAATGTAGCCTGATTACATACACTATAACATCCCCTTCGGCGTCACGCGAGGGCTTCACCCATCCAAAGATTGAAAGTGTCACCTGTACCAGGGGTCCTTTCACCATCTCACCGATGATATTGTTTGTCATAGAACAAAATGAGTAGGAGTCACCCTAATATGCATTTTAACCTCTAAAGCCTAGAACCAGTTCTTTGGCACACTGGCCGGATCACATACGGTACACGTGCATATGTCAACCAACTGTGTCAGTCTACCTCCTCCATGTCGAACAAAGGTGAGTCATTCTGATCATCCAAGTGCATTAGCGATCTCGACTCATGTTTTAACAAGTGACGCCTCTCCCAAGGGTCCTTACAAACACATGTACGGCCTCGTGGCTGGCCATCCTTTCGCAGTACCATTTTCAATCAACAACAAAGAACCACTGCGTCACGCTGTTGCCATTTGTGGTGCTGTTCTTTTGTAATTTGATTATTTTTACAGTGTTTCAATAGCAACTGCATTCACTCTATTTGTCGAAATTAATCCAGAAGGGCCTAATAATATAAAATACAGTAGATAGGATTCAGAGTTTCATTAATATTTTAATGTGAGCAGAGTAACGGACTGGTGCTTCTTCATGATTGATTGGAAAGGTAATCATTACATACAACAATGTCCAAACTATGGCAGTTCAGTTTACAGAAGCTAAAATATGTCTGTATTTGGTGTTGTTATGTGTCAACCTTTTGTTCTTTTAGTGCTTTTTGATGTCCTTTATCAGCATATGTACGGGTTTCGAGATTGATTTACCATTTTTTTCAGACGATAAGGCGCACCTACTAGCCTTTAATTTTCTTTAAAATCGACACTGCGCCTTGCAATCCGGTGCGCTTTATGTATGCATGTCGGCTTTTCAGGTCGTCATCTTTAAGTCAAATTCCACACCCGAGCGGCTAAATAATTAACGTCCCGACTACCGTGGCGGTGGGATTGCTGCCATCCACAGAAAATCCATAAAGACACCTTTATCACCATCCAACCCCCTTCCTCTTTTGAACACCTGTCCTTCAGACTCTCCTAAACCCCATATCATCTCAGTCATTCACCCGCAAAAAACAAAAAAAAAAACGATCCCAGCTTTTCTCTGGCGTCCGCGTGTCAGTTTCGTCAGTGTGAATGTGAGTCTATGTGTGTCAATGTACAGTATGCTTCAAACTATTGTAGAACAGTTGAGTGTGCACCCTTCCAATACTGAAACTGTAAGGGAAGTGGGAATGGTGTGGTGTTCTGTTTGTAGATGACATTTTTTGGAAATGAGGGAATGAGTTTAGAAATGGAATGTGTGTGCATGGTGGGCACTTAAAGTCACAGTGTGTGCTGAGAGGGTCAGTGCAGAGCGCAATTGCTCACATGCGCATCTTAGAGGCAACACTGGTTGGGACAGAGGAAAAAAGAGGAGCCAGCATGAATAATAGCAAGTGAGGAAGTTGCCGTATCTGATGTGTGCATTGTTCAGAGCTGTCAACCAAGATCGCACTTAGCAGCCAACACAACCACCGGCCACCAGATCAACTAACGGTGTTTTTTTTTTTTTCAACTGACGGAGGAGCCGTTCCTCTGCTTCGCTCAAAGCAATTCCCCATGTAGGTTGACAGCAAACAAAAGCATGGGAGACACTGTCTGAACCTACCATAATAGTGCTAATCTGTCAATATGGTACAATTAGAAGAAACGTTTTGACATGTATTGCTTCACAAAGATAAACCGATGCATTTCACGATTCGAAAAATGCAGTATGAAGTACAGTACATGAAATACTTTGCTGCTGGTTACAGTAGCTGACTAGTCAATAAAACCTGAAAAAACACGAACTAAAATATCTTCAACAGCACAAATTCAACAAAAGCCTGTCATTGTTTTGTTTGTGACATGCCGAGAATACACACTTAACACATAACCATTTTCAGGGAGCAAAAACAATAACTGTTTTATTCACCCTTGCTCAAAGTTCTCATTTTGAGGCCCTTTTTAAAATGTAAAATGCAATTGTTGTGTAAGCAAATGGCCAATATTAATGTTAATAGTTAGTGTTCCTGCCCAATAGCAGACCTAAATCAAAAGGTCAATGAACTACCACCTCCATTTAACTTCATGACTCTGTTCAACAATGATTTTACTTTTATAAGGGTGAGAGGAAGGAGATGAAACATCTAAAGCATTTCTTATGATAGTTGGCTGCTATTTTCTCAGCATGGCGACATGATGGTTTTGCTGAAGAGGCAGCTGATCATGTCCTTCCTCCTGACCTCTCACTCTCCTGCTCATTGACCCTGTACAGATGACTTGAATTGTAGATTGCTCTGATTATCCATTGAACAAAGCCCAATCATGGAGTCTACATTTCACCTATAATCCATGAGGCCAGCTGGGTGTTGTCACATGGGAGCACTGTAGTATCAAAATTAATCCTATTAGATCAACTGTGAGGACAATATATTTTTTGCAAACTAGTAACACCCGAGTATAAATAAAGCTGC